CTCATTTCTTAAGCCTCATAACAGATGGTCAAACGGTAGACCTGAGTGAAACGGTTGAACAGTACTGAATATCTAGCATTACCGCTATTTGGAATCGATCGATTCAGAGATGTTCGCTTCAATGGTGCAGGAATATGGACTATTTCTGGATCCTCTTAAGCCAGGTTCCCTCATAATCCAGACGGTACAGACCCTAAAGACAGACAACAGGACTCGAAAGATCTGGAATCAACAAACAGCAGTAGCCGATCTTCGTACTGGCAGAAAACTTTAGCTCCTGATATGAAAACCGTTATTCCACATTTCACCTAGGTAAATTAATCCGGACTACAAATTCTGACTTCTTTTACCTCAAATGACCTCAGTCAAAAAGTGCACCTCTCGTCATTTCAAATTATTATATGGTAGATTCATAATGATTCGATAACCGGGAAGGATCGCCACAAACTTTGCAACGGTTCGTTTATGAGTCCATGACAGCAAGATGCACAGAGGCCCTTCACGTTTATTATGATAAGTCTGGCTAAGAAACATAAGGTAATGTAAAAATACTCTTCCGACAAATCCACACACATAACTGAAAGCAACTACGTACATTCGTCCTCAAACAAAGCATGATGACACAGCATGAAGGTTCATTACTGAAAACTGTATTATCATGTCGACATGAAAACTTATACTGAAATTCTGCATCCGCGTTCCATAACAGCAAAGAAAAAAACTAGTTACCCACTAATGATGAGAGTGTCATCGAATATGTAAAGCTTCATGTGCTGAACACTGATGATCTCGTTCCATCGAACGGGCAGAAGCAGCTTTAAGATACCTCGAAGAAGTGGAGAATGAAACAAATACACCCCGGTGTTACCGCGGTTGTCAGTCAAAAGTGGCAGCAACATCGAGCAAGAGTCCGGATCGCCCCTGGTTCCACGACTGTAATCCAAAAGTACAGTAATTCGTACTCCTTTGGACAGAGCGTTTGTTAAGGTGTCAACCTGATAAATTTCTGTAATCATTGCAAAAGATAATTAACCTTACCAGGTTCTTTTCCAGGCCTCCAGTACCGAGGTAAAGCGAAGAGAGGACAATTCGACGACACGCCTTCTCTGACAATTCCTAAATGAAGCACTCGATCGTATATTCAAGTAACACGGCAACTGTGCTTTGTTTTGATACACTGAAACCGTCGAAATTATCTGCAGCATACAATGCCTTCCGTTATACTAGAATTAAAAGTCTAATGTTCATGTCAGTTTTTACATGCTGCCTTAACGTTATATTACGGCCACAAAATCAGGTAGAAGCGTGACTAAGACAGCTGAATACGGACACAGCGCAACAGAGCAGGAAATGAAAAGTGCACATTGGTTTTAGCCTCGATGGTAGTCACGAACGGAGGCTTGTCATGAACCACACCAAACAGTCGATACAACGACAACCGTCGTCCGAGAGACATCCTCAAGCCTTTAAAACTAATCTGCCAAGAAAAGCCACATTCAGATTATAAACCCAGAAGGAATGATGAGACGGCTAACCTTCGTCGTTTTCTCATTAAGAAAACATTATGCAACGTCACGCCGTTTGAGGAAAGGATGACACTGTTTAAATTCTGTTCATAATAAAACTTTTTCCAGAAGCAAACATTTAACAAAAGTTTCGTTTTTACTTCTTAAAAGAACGATTTTACTTTCCGCTGCTGCCTGGTTGCTGAACTTAGGTCAGTCCAAAGAAAAACCAACTGGATTATTTGACAACCAGCAAACTAAACCAGCTGTTACCGGTTCTGTTCAAAGAAGCTTAATCAATTTATAATTTTATTGTAAAACTAAAAACTCAAACTTAAGTCAAAAACAAAAATATAAAAACGGTATACCAATAAGGTTCTGTAAAATGTCGACGGTTCTTTGATGATTTTGACGTTTTCGCCGTTTATGGCAAACACTGGACAGATTTCGGCCATTTCTCGCCAAAGAGTTTCTAATCCCATATTTTCTTTATGTCGAGCGAGCATTTTTTAATAAAGAAATGGTGATGGGCAACCTTTCACTTGAGAGGACAGTGTCAACCTGAAAAACACGTCATAAATACTATATTATATATATAGTAATTAGTATTGATGCACCATCACTGTGGGAAATGGGTAATGCTATAGTTACCTTACCTAGTTTCTGAATCAAATAATATTTTTTGGGAAACGCTAATTAAAGCTTCTTCTCGCAAATCAGACAGGTAATCGATTACTAAAAATAAAACGATTCAAAAACATGTTTTTTT